GCTCGCTGACCGCTAGTGCGCCGGACCGCTGCCGGCCAGCGCCAGTGCGTCCCAGCGCCCTGCAGAGGTCGCGCCGCACACCGCTGCGCCTGCACTAGTCCTTGAAAAGTTCAGGGACGCACCTTGTGACCTCGCGATCGAACATGGGCTTTCGCAGGCGATCATTCATTGGTGGTCCAATAATTATGCTAATACGATAGTGTGGTACAAGCTTATGGGAGTGATAATTGAAGATATTCGGATGTAAATTATCAGAAGGCAACGGAACTACAAAACTGGGTGACTAAATATTTTTATAATATTTCTTATTGTAAATATATGTGGTGAAAACTTATTTACTTAACAGTGAAGTGTGTGTCAGTTCAGAAGAAGTGATATTTCTTCGTGAGATGTTCTACAAGGTCAAAAGAACAAAATTTTCTTCATTGGATAGAGCAAGTGTTTTGCTATATAACATATTAATACATATCTCCAAATAACCATTTCTATGCTCATCGATAAAGTGAAGTGAGAAACTCTTGAGCGCCAAACGTGAATGCACACGATCACATAAGGACGCCATTTTCCGTTAAGAACATCATGTCAAAGCCCCGCCCGAAGAAGTACCTCAAGGTAATTGTGAATATATTGCGAATAGTCGCCAACAGGACCCGCACTCCTGCCGACAAAGAGCTGATTCTCAAAGACTCGCCTTGAAGTCTTTGATTGTTTAACATAATTTGAATTGCGTACAGTAAGGGACACAAAAAACGGCCAGGGCTTTCCGGCTAGCAAGTGAAGACGGTTAATTAACCGCAAGAGCCGGTGCGTCCACGTGGCCGGCGCGAGTGCGCGGAGCGGCGGAGGCGACGTAGGCGGCGGCGGCCGCGAGTGGGCGGTGTCCATCGGCCAGTCGATAGCGTGGCGTGCGCCGGCCGGCGGGCAGCATTCCTCGCGCTCTGCCCGGCGCATCGACGCGCTCCGCCCTGGATTCCATCCCGGGCGCTCCCCCAAGAAGGATCTGCGAGGGGCAGGCGCCCTGAACAGCGAGGACCGCCGAGGCCATTCTGGAGAGGAGGCGGCCTTCTCATAGTAGGTAGCGAGCGGTAGGCGAGTAGAAGCAGTA